GCTGTGCCCTGTGTGTGTCCCTGGCTGTGCCCTGTGTGTGTCCCTGGCTGTGCCCTGCGTGTGTCTGCCTGTCTGCACCCCCCAGACGCTGCTCGGGTGTGCGCGCCGCACTCTGTGCTTCTTTGTGGATGTGTGCGCGTTGCAGCCCTTCCCAGCCTCTTAGACAGTCACCCCTTTGTCCCAGCCCATACCCCTGGGGCCCCAGGTTCCTGTCCTTGGCATGTCCCAGCTGGGGCCCTGGGAGGGGGCTGTGACCTGACTCCCCGCCCCAAGGACCTGGGTGGGGCAGCCTTTGTGATTGGTGGACTGTCCTGTCACATCCCTCTGAGTGCTGGGCACAGGAGGCCCCTGGGTGTTGGCCCCCTGCCCCAGCCTCTGCAAGGGCAGGGCGGCAGCACAGGGGCCTGTCCTGCTCAGCCACCCACTCAGGACTCCGCAGCAGCAGGAGGACCGGGCCTGGGGTGCAGGCCCAGAGAGGGGATACCGCTGCCCAAGGTCACACAGCTGAGTGATGGGGTTGGGATTTGAACCCCAGTTGGTTGCCAGCCACCAAAATGGCTGCTGTTGTTCAAGAGACAGGAGACCTTGGTCTTGCCCTGGACTCGCCTCGCGGCTAAGGTTAAGTCTCTGTCCCTTTGGCCTCCGATCTCCAGACCCCTCGGCAGACCACCCGGTTACATACCGAGTCACTGCGGCCTGATCCAGGGGCCCAATAAGACCTGGGTGCTGAGCCTGTAACCTAACCCTATCCTGACCCCTGACCTCTGCGAGGCCTCCTCATGACCCAAGTTATTTTGGACCAAGGAGGTGGCAGGTTCCAGCAGGACAGTGGGGCTTAGGTTACTGGGAGGGGGTGGGGCAGGATGGGGTCACTGCAGGCTGTTCCTGGCCTAGGGGACCCCCCCCCACCACCAGCTGCTGAGCAGTGTTGGCAGCTACTGCTCTTCCTTCAGCATACTCAGCAGGGAAGAGGCTAACTCAGGCCCCCACAGGCAGCTGCTTAAGGACCTACTGGGTGCTAGGCCCAGAGCAGCAGAAAATGCAGCCCTGGGTTGGAACCTAGCCAGGCCCTGGAGCAGGTCTATCCTCTTCAAGCCTCAGTTCCCTCCCAAGAGGGCCCTGGGGATGGAGTGAGGCCCCCGGCCCTCTGACCAGCCCGGGCCTACAACAGAGCGGTCCAATAGAGTGTGGTGTGTGGTGTGTGGCTGTATGATGCCAGGGGAAGTTCAGAGGAGGTACCTGTCAGTGTAGGAGTGGAGGGTAGAGTCCAGGAAGGCTTCCTGAAGGAGGTGACACCTGAAGTGAGTCCTAAACATGAACACCTCAGGGAAGGGCATTGGGGCATTGGGTGCAACATGAGCTGGGCCTGGCGGTGGGACACGGCCACGGTGGGAGAAGGAGCTCGGTTTAAGCAGCAGCTGATAAAGTGCAGGGATGGGTGGAGGGGGAGAGGCTTTATCTTGGGAGCTGAGTGGCCGCACATGGAAGGGTTTTAAGCAGGAGAGTGATGTGGTCTTCAGCTTGTGGGGAAATCCTACAGATGGGCTGGTGGGTATGGAGGTTGGGTTGGCCCCGGCTTGGAACAAAGAAGTGGCCACGAGGACACAGATCAGAGGTTCAGTAGCAAGAGGGTGGGACGTGCTCATGCAGGATGGGGAGGGTGTGAGAGAAAGGCTTCTAGCTGGACACAGCCGGGCTGTCAGAGGCGGCAGGGTCTCCGAAGCTGGCAAGAGCGACCTGGGCTGGCTGGGCAGGATGGAGGGTCCCAGGAAGCCAATAGTGAGAGGGTAGAGTCGGGGTTGGAGGTGAGGTCCCAGGCAGGAGGAATGGTGGCCAAGGGTCAAGAGTCAAAGGTCAAGGCAAGAGTGGCTGTGATGGTTGCAGGTGGCCTTGGGGAGGGCTGGTGGGTGAAGGCCACAGGTGTATAGGCAGCAATTCTGAAGAGACGGACGGGAAGGGGAGGTTGATGTGGAAGTAGTGGGGTCCCAGGAGGGGTTGGGGTTGATTCCATGCTGGGGGGATAAGGGGGCAATGGAGCAAGGTCCTCCAGGGGGTGAGGGGCAGAGGCCACATGGGGGGAGTTGGTCCTGTGTGTGGGGGAGCCTGGGAACCCCTCATTGGAAAATTGCAGGGCTATTCCTATGTGAACGCAGCTTCCTCCCTCCAGACTTCCGTGTCCTCTGAGCATCCTCTTCCAAACCCCTTCAGAGCTGAGGACTCACAGCTCCTGTCCCTCCTCCCCCTCCTGGCAGCTCTCCCCGCCCTCCGCCCTGGGGAGCGTTGTCAAGGTGCCTGGAGAGGACCCCGCCCTGTTTTCTGGGACTTGGGAGAGCAGCTCGCAGTGACTGGTGGGGCGGGAGGGGGCTGCTGCCCTTGGCAGGTGAGGCAATGGAAGCACAAGGAAGAAAGATGACTTTCCCAAGGTCACCCAGCCTCCTGGGCCTTCCGGCCCCCAGCGGCCCTCTCCGAGGGCAAGCCAGGCTGGCACACCTGCGGCTGTGGCTGTGGCTGGAGGGAGCGCTCGCTCACCAGCCCCACCCGCGCCTTATCTTGCAGAGCGCTGACTCCACTCCCGGGACCTCGGCAGGATGGAAGGTACGGAGGCTCCTCTCCCCTGCTCTCTGCCTGCACCTCAGTCTGCCCACCTGCTAAGGGGGTGCACTTTGGGGAGACACTCTGGAGGGGTTGGAGGCGGCTCTGGGGCTGCCAGACCGGGCTTGCCTGGGAGCTCCCACACCCGCCTCGGGCCTCTCATGGGATGTGCCAGCTTCAAGATTAATTTTAGAAGCAACGGGGCCTCCTGGGCTCCCGAGGACCCCACAGCTCACCTCCTACGCTGGTATTTTTAGAGCTGAATCCCTGCCTCTTTCAGGAGAGGGCGGGCACTGCTGAGGGGAGGCCTGCCTGTGGAGAGGCCCCAAGGGTGCAAATGCCCCTGTCAGGGACGGAGTTGCCCCATTGTCCAGGGGGTGGCTCTTGGGCCCTCCAGGCTCCTATGGGCCCGCCTAGAAGGAGTCATGGGCTGAGAGCCCAGCTGGCCTGTCTCCTGGCAGCACCATCCGTCCCATCCCTGGCTTTGAGCCTGGGCCTGGGCAGTTCTTAAAGGAGCCCAGCCAGCCAAGGGTGCAAATGCCCCTGTCAGGGACAGAGTTGCCCCATTGTCCAGGGGGTGGCTCTTGGGCCCTCCAGGCTCCTATGGGCCCGCCTAGAAGGAGTCATGGGCTGAGAGCCCAGCTGGCCTGTCTCCTGGCAGCACCATCCGTCCCATCCCTGGCTTTGAGCCTGGGCCTGGGCAGTTCTTAAAGGAGCCCAGCCAGCCTGGCTGCGGCTGCCTGAAACCAGTGGTCACCCGTCCACCCCTGGGGCTCTGAACGTCAGCTGCCACTGGACTGTGCCCTCCCCCCCACACACCCAGGCTTGTGCCCGTCACACGGCGGGCAGCTGGCGGGAAGCCACGAGAGAAGTTCTGACAGCTCCTGGCCCAGGGCTGGGAAGCCCTGGGAGCTTTGAGCTCACCTCCCATTGGACTGGGGAGAGGGGGGCAGAAAGGGGAGGGACCTCTCTCTCCGGCCTCTCAGCCAGTCCTGCTCCGGGGAAGGGAAGGCAGCAGCCTGGGAAGGGGCAGCTTCCAGTCCGGGTTTTGGCAGCCCAAGAGCGGGCCCTGCCTCTTCAGGCCTCAGTTTCCCTCTGTGGGTGGGGCTGTGGGGCTGCTGAGTCCTCAGGGCGGTGAGGCAGAGGTTGAAATGGAAGCTGGCCTCCCCTTTGGGCAAGGGTTCCATATGCCCACCACAGCCCTCTTCCCCGGCAACTGTCTCCAGGGCAACATATGTTGTGGTTGCCAACTCCGCACTCACACCGCCCAGGGAAGGCGGGCGATGGGCAGGCCAGGGCCTGGGAGGGGAAGGGCAGGGGACACAGCGGAACGGATCCATGGGTGGCTGCTGCTCCTCGGGAAACCTCCGCAGCGAGGAAGACTCTAAGGCTAGAGGTGACCCGCAGCTGCCGCCCAGCCTCCCACAGGGACGGGGGTGACTCGAGCCCCTCAGGGTCGCTCTTACGGCCTCTGCCTGTGGCCACCGGGCCTTTGCCTCTGCTGGTCCCTCTGCCTGGACCGCCCTCTCTCCCCCGGCCTGTCCCAGTCTCTGAGCTCTCCTCGCCATCAGCACCCACGCTGGGCTGTGACCTGTCTGCCTCCCTGACAGGAGGGTGAGCTGCCTGTCCCTCTGCCTCAGGCCCCGCACAGGCCTGGGATCAGAGGTGCTGCCCACCACGTGCCGTGCGAGTGACTGAGCTCTCCCCCCTTTCTCTCCCACAGAGAAGCTGAAGAAAACCAAGATCATCTTCGTGGTGGGTGAGTCCAGGGCAGGCGGGCGAGGCACTAGCAGGGGGGTCTGTGCAGGCCCTGGTGGGAGCCGGGCCGGGAATGCGCCCTGGGCTCTGTCCTTCCTTCGATGGGTGACCCGGGCCCACCCTGTCCCCGCGGAGGACCCGTTTCTCAGGGCTTCTGCACGGGTGGGCGCTTGCAGGCGGGCCTGGCTCGGGGAAGGGCACCCAGTGTGAGAAGATTGTCCAGAAGTACGGCTACACCCACCTGTCCACCGGGGACCTCCTTCGGGCCGAGGTCAGCTCGGGCTCGGCCAGGGGCAAGATGCTGTCGGAAATCATGGAGAAGGGGCAGCTGGTGCCGCTGGTGAGTGGGCCCCAGTGAGGCGGGGGCGGGGGTGATGGTGGCCCTGAGTGGACGGCAGCCAGCAAAGCCCATGACACGCTGGCGAAGCTGGCCATGACCTTCCCTGGCTCTGAACCCTTTTGTGGGTCCCCATTGCCCTTGGCACAGAATTTCTTCCCGAAGCCTCCAGGACTCTGACCTGCTGACCCCTCCACCCTCCCACCAGCCCGGCCTTTCTGCCCCTCAAACTCATCGCACTCCTTCCTGCCTGGAATGGTTTTCCTCCTCAGCTTTCAGACCTGGTTCATCCGGTTTGGGCTCAGACCCCCTAACACTCCAGTAGCCCCTTTCTCTGCCCACAAGCTGTGTCATGCCTGGAAGTTGATAACTGGCGTTTCCTGAGGGCAGGGAAGGCCTGCTGTGTTCACCGCTGTGTCCTCTGGGCCCAGCTGAACGCAGGACCTGAGCCATCCATCGCCTCCCCATGGTTCAGGGAGGCCTGAGGGGGCTGGTTTGGGAGCTGTCCGCGCAGGGGGCGTTTCAGCTGTGGGGCAGCGCACCCCAGAGGAGGGTGGGGAAGTGGGGCTCACGGCCGCTCCTCCTTCTGCTGTGCCCGCAGGAGACAGTGTTGGACATGCTCCGAGACGCCATGATGGCCAAGGTGGAGACTTCCAAAGGCTTCCTGATCGATGGCTACCCTCGGGAGGTGCAGCAGGGCGAAGAGTTTGAGCAGCGGGTAAGGCACAACCTGGTGCAGGGGTCCTCAAACTACGGCCCGCGGGCCACATGCAAATACAAATATTGTATTTGTTCCCGTTTTGTTTTTTTACTTCAAAATAAGGTATGTGCAGTGTGCATAGGAATTTGTTCATAGTTTTTTTTTAAAACTATAGTCCGGCCCTCCAACGGTCTGAGGGACAGTGAACTGGCCCCCTGTTTAAAAAGTTTGAGGACCCCTGACCTGGTGGATTGTCTTCAGGATCCATGACAGGGGCAGTCAGGCAGAGGCTGCTATGATGGAGGGAGGGAGAGAGGGAGGGAGGGAGGGAGAGAGAGAGAGAGAGAGGGGAGAGATTGATTGTGGGTGATGGGAGCTGGGGAAGGAGGGAACCAGGGAAGTGCTTTCTGGGATTCTGTCTAGAAATCCAGAAGAAAGAGTCTAGAAGAATGGGAAGCACCAGGCTGAGAAGGCCAGGCTCAGGTCCCAGCTCAGCTGCTCAAGGCCTTGGGCTGTCATTCTGCCTCTGTGAACCTCAGTGTTCCCATCTGCAAAATGGGGATAGACGGGGCCCAGCTGCCTTGTGGGGCAGCATGAGGATTAGAGAGAATGTACTCTTCAGTGTAAGCACATGGTGGGAGGGGCAGGGAGTAGCATGGACAGGGCTGGAAGAGTCAGGCTCGTGTAGAGAGAACAGAGCTGTTGGGAGAGGGCAACTGGGGATGATGTGGGAGAGGGAGGCTCAGGCCTGGCTGGAGGCTTCGGATGCCCCGGGGGGAGAGTCCAGTCTCCTTCCAGGGGCCACCGGGAGTCTGGCTGGAGAGAGTGGGCCTTGAGGATGATGCCTTTGAGCTGCCTGGAATGAGTGCCCACCGGAAAACTTTCCACAGGGCAAGAGCATCTTGCCCAAACACACACATGTACAGGCATGTGCATGCACACACAGGCACACAAACACATAGGCACACATGTGTGCAGGAAGCCACAGGCATATGCACCCATGCACACAGGCCTGTGTACATGTGCACACATCTGGCAGTGTACACACATGCACCTCAGGCAATGCATATACACAGACTCAGTGCACCTATACACAGAGATGCACACACATGCACACACATGGGCACACACATATACACACATACACCCATATCTCTTGGTGTTATACGCCATATGGGGGAAGCAGAGGCGCTGTAAGTGCCAAGGAGGGAGAGGTCATTAAGGGGACTTGGGGGCGCTTCTTGGCAGAGGACTCCTTCCAGGCCTTGCAAGGAGGACTGGGCATCCCAGTGGGCTGGGGGCAGGACCAGACCCTCATCCCCACTCCCCAACTCTGTGAGACAGGGGCCATCTTTAGGCTTCCATAGCTTTGAGCCACATCCAGAGGCAGGATATTGTATTTCCTGCCCTCTAACTGGCTGCAAGACCTCAGGGAAGTGTCTACCCTGATCTGGGCCTCAGTTTCCCTATCTGTGAAATGGGGGTTGGCTGGGCTTCCTTCAAAGACTGGGAGGCCATGGACCTAGGCACCAGCTGTGTGACGTCACCTCTGGCCCTCAAAGCCCCGTCTGGAAGATGGGGTTAGTGAAAGTTCTCATCCCTCCTGGGGCTGTTGTGGGTGTTGGCGTGGGCGCCTGGCCCTGCCCAGCACCTGGTGTTTTTGACTCTGGGCACCAGGGGGCGCCAGGTCCTCACCAAAGGAAGATGGTGAACCTTATTTCTTCGTGCCCTTCCCAGTCTTCCTGTGATGAAACACTCATCCCAGTGACAGTGACATTGTTCAGAGCCTCCCAGAGCTCAGTGGCCCCTCACCCCTTCCCTTAGCCCTGGTTCCTCTGTCAAGTCCCAGTCCAGGCCTGCTGGGGTGAGACAGCCCATTGCGCTCGGGCCTCGGGCCAGGCTGGGAGAGGGATGTTAAGTAAACAACCAGAGGCCCTCCCAGAGGTGCTGAGGGCAGAAGTAAAGGGCCTGGAAGAGCCTGTCCCAGGGGGCGGGGCTGGCGGGGTGGCATCTGGGGGGGCTGCGCCAGAGGAATGAGATTTTAGGTGAAATCTGGAGGTGAGCACTTGGCATGGAGGGAAGAGGTTCCTGGGAGGTTCCTGGCAAGAGCAAAGGCCTGGCACACGAGGAGGGTGATGAGAGCCGGCCTAGACTCCAGTCAGCAAGAGAGCAAAGGAGTGAGCAGCAAGCGATGAGGAGGGGGCACAGGGCCCAACGGCGCAGGCCCTCTAGGCCAGGGAAGGACTTTGCATTTTCTCCCCAGGGCACTGGGGGGCCACGGAGGAGGTTTGAGCAGGGGGATGGCAGGGCAGGTTGGTTTTGGGAGGGTCTGTCAGGCTGTCCTGAATGTCCGAGTGGATCTCAAGTGGGGCCCCCCGAAGTGGGAAGATGGGCAGGAGGTGGCCTCGGGGTGGGCAGGAAAGGGGCCCCTGTGACTGGTGCCCCGCCCACAGATCGGACAGCCCACCCTGCTGCTGTATGTGGACGCAGGCCCCGAGACCATGACCCAGCGGCTCCTGAAGCGTGGAGAGACCAGTGGGCGTGTGGACGACAACGAGGAGACCATCAAGAAGCGGCTGGATACCTACTACCAGGCCACGGAACCCGTCATCGCCTTCTATGAGAAACGGGGCATCGTGCGCAAGGTGCGCCCCCTGCAGGCCGAGGGAGCAGGAAACCTGGGTTGTTTTCCTGGCTGGGCCTCCAATTGCTGGGACCTCGGGCCAGCCGTCCTCCCTGGGCCGTGGCTTCCCCACTGGTTTGATGAGGGGCTGCTGCCCACGGCGGCTGGACTCCCGACCCAGGCCGGGCCTCCGGGGGTGGGGCCTGCCACGATGGGGCCCGCCCAGCCCACGGCGTCTCCGCTCACCACCAGTCTCCCTGCAGGTCAATGCCGAAGGCTCCGTGGACAGCGTCTTCTCCCAGGTCTGCACCCACCTGGATGCCCTCAAGTAGCAACACGGGCCTGGAGCCCCTTCCCCAGCTCAGAGCCCAGCCCCACCCCTGTCCTGACTCAGGAGTCCTGGCCTGAGCTCAGCGCCTCCACCCTGCCCGGCGGGAGCACAGACAGAGGAAGCCACTTTATCCTGTTTTCACGGACAGCTGAGCACTAAAGGAATTTCCGAGGACATTCGGTTTTACTCCTTTTTCTTCGCTTCCACTGGGGTTGATTTATGTGGGATGGCTGCCCGGCCTTGAGTCCCCAGCCCCTCTTCCTCCCCAGCCCCTCGGTCCCCCTCAGCCCCCCTCAGCCAGCTGCCCCTCCCTAGCTCTGGTGGAAGGCCCAGGACTCTTCTTACGTAGGGCATGCCGGGCCCAGGCTATGCCAGGCCTGGGGGTCCAGGGTGACCGAGGCAGGGTCCTTGCTCTCCGGGACGCGTGGTCAGGCAGAGCTGGGTCATCCTTGCTGTGTGGCCGTGGCCCTGACCCCTCATCTGTCTGAGCCTGTGTTCTGTGCCTAACTCCTGCTGGAGACTGAGCTGTTGCATGCAGCCAGGTCATGGGCTGAGGGAGTTTTCCTGGGCAGCGGGAGGTGGGGGGTGCTCCCTGGTAGTGGTTGTGACACAGAGTAGCCGGCCAAGTGGGCAGTGAATTGGCCTCCTTGATGCGAGAAGGCCTGAGGCCTGCGGGCTGGACCTGAGGGTCATGGTCACTAGCACCTCCCTGAGGAGGTGAGATCTGAAGGGCTCCCACCGTGTGGCCCCAGGCAGGTCACAACCTGTCCTTTCTAAGCTGCTTCAGAATGCAAATTAGGCTCATTGCCCCGCCCCCAGGTTAGGAAGAGAACACACTGAGCCAAGGGTGTAGACCAGCCGTGGGCAAACTACAGCTGCGGGCCTGAAATGAATAAAACTAAAAAAAAAAAAAAGACTGTACCCTTTTATGTAATGATGTTTACTTTGAATTTATATTAGTTCACACAAACACTCCATCCATGCTTTTGTTCTGGCCCTCCGGTCCAGTTTAAGAACCCATTGTGGCCCTCGAGTCAAAAAGTTTGCCCACCCCTGGTGTAGACTTAGTTACCAGGCCTGTGGGAGCCCGAGACCAGGGCAGCCTCAGGGACATGCCAGGCCCCGGTGCTGTGGGGGGGCCCCAGGACCCCCCGGGGAGAAGCATCCTCCCTTTTCTATTCTCTCATTCTGACCTCGTCTTGGAGAACGGCTCCACTCGGGTGCTCAGGGTCCTTACCGCCTGGCCCAGCCTGGAGGCTCCTGAAAGCGGAGAGAGCCCGCGGCGGGCACACCTGGAGGAATGAAACCCCCTGCGGGCTGGGCTGCCTGTGCCAGCAAGTGTGGCTGGTTTCCCGTTTACATTAGTTATTTAAAGTTTCCTTTAAAATAAACGTATTTAAGTTCTAAAAGGTGGGTCTATTGGAAGAAGAACACGAAATAAGTAAATGGTAATACAGGGGAGAGAGAAGGCAGGCAGCCTGCGGGGTGAGTCGTCCCGTCTGGGTGGGGTGCGGGTGAGGCCTCCGCAGCTGCTCTCTCTGTTCCCCATGCTGGCCCGGGTGTGCAGGAAGCCCCAGCTCGGTAACCTCCCACCTGGGGGGTCCATGTCACATCTGTCAAACTGGGCCCCCCTCCCACCCACACACACACACACTCACACACGCTCCCACTCACAGGCACGCGCCCCTTCATCCCGGGGCCGTCTGAGGATCCACGTGCAGGTGAGTGGAAAACAAGCCAGAGACGATAAGGGGCTAGGGAAATCCACCCTCAAAATCATCATCTTTATGACAGCTTCCTGAACTCAGGTGTGTCCCAAGGGATGAAAACCTAGGCTCACCCAAATTCTTCACAGAATCACTTTGTTCACTTAAAAAAAAGCCTGGAAAACTTAAAGAAAACAAACAAAAACTTTAAAAGTTCCAGTAACCGTTACCCAATCGTTGCCGTTAACCTTCCTTGGAGCGTTTCCTTCATGGAAGTTCCTTCGGCAGCGATCCGGCACCTGCCCTGGCGGGACACTGCTGTGACGCCCGGCACCGGGAGGGGACCGTGCTCGAATACGCCATCAGACCTCCGCACCCGCGACCAGTTCTGGGCAGCTCAGTGCCCAGAGCTCAGAGGGGCCCCTGGTGCAGAAGGCTCCTTGACCTGGAGCTCGAGTGGGGCCCTAACAGTACCTAGGAGTTCACTTCACCACGTGGAAGGGCATGGAAGGGCAGAGGGAACAGAGCTGCAGAGCTGCAGAGGCGGAGAGGACCCGCTGAGTGAAGGGAGGCTGAGGCATGAGTGGGGGCTGGAAGGCAGGCTAGAGGGGGTGTCCTAGCTGGAGACAAGCTTGGCGGGTGACAGAAGCCACGCTTGCAGGGCCTTGAATGCCAACCCGGGTATCTAGTCTTTCCCCAAAGCGCATTGGGAGGCTCAGAAAGTTTTGTTTTTTGTGTTTTTAAAAAAATATATATTTTATTGATTTTTTACAGAGAGGAAGGGAGAGGGATAGAGAGTCAGAAACATCGATGGGAGAGAAACATTGATCAGCTGCCTCCTGCACACTCCCCACTGGGGATGTGCCCGCAACCAAGGTACATGCCCTTGACTGGAATCGAACCTGGGACCCTCAGTCCCCAGGCTGACGCTCTATCCACCGAGCCAAACCGGTTAGGGCAGAAAGTTTTGTTTTTAATAAAAATTTTCAAACAAAATTTGAGGAAATAATATAACGAACACCCATATACCATCACCCACATTTAGTAATTGTTAACGTTTTCCCATACTTCCTTCACTGCTGGTTTATTGTTGTCAGACTATTTTAAAGTAAGTTACAGATTATGAAAAAAGTTCGTTCCGAAAGTGGGACTTCGGTACGACTAATAAATGAGGACATTTTGCTGTTTAACCACAACTCAGTTTCGATGACACTAGGTTAACACTAATATCATAGGTAATTCTCAGTCCACATGTCATTTCCCCCAAAGTGTGTCTTTGCGAAAACCGGGAGGCAATCCGGGACCACACCTTGCCTCTGTGCCGCCCGTCAAACGTTAACCTCTGACTCACCCCCTCTCTTTATGACATTGACCTGTGACGGGACCGTTGTCCCGCAGAAAATTCCTCCTCCCAGCTTGTGTCTGTGGCTCCCTGTGGTGTCTCTGGACTTGTTCCTCCGTTCCCCGAGTTTCCTGTACGGGCGTCAGACGTTCAGGCTAAGCCTTTGGGACAAGAATACGAGTAGCTGAGGCTCACAAAGGGTTTTAAAACCAGGCGGGACCGTCAGATGGGCCGCATCTGGCTCTAAGTGCACACGAATCCCCACAGGGTCTCGTTAAAAAGCTGCTTCTGATGCAGCGGGTCGGTTTGGGTGGTGAGGCCTGGCTGGGCCGCTGGGCCGAGGCCCACACTGGGCAGCTCAGAGAGGCGGGAGCCGGGGAAGGGGAGGAAGGGTGGGGAGGAGGGGCGCCTCTAAGGTCAGCGTGTGCTCATCCCCTGCTGGTGGGCTGCGAGGTGGGCGGGGTGTCGGATCCGGGACGGGCATGCTGTCATAGTCTTCATGTCTCCAGCCGCACTCCAGGAAATGGCTGTCCCAAGGTGCCGGAACCTTCTAGCCAGCAGAGGGACGGCCGAGCGCCTCTGTGACCTCAGGGTCTCAGAGAGGGAGCGTGCTCCTCGGTAGGCCCTCCGGGGTGGTGGCCTCAGATGCCCCCACTGGACTCTGCCCCTAAGTCTCAGCCCCCGGGGGCCCTGAGGGCCTGGCCGGAGGCGCTGAAGTGGGAGAGGAAGGAAGCGGGGAGCAGAAAAGGCCAAGGCTGTCGCCTCCCAGCCTCCAGAGGGGCCTCGAGTAAACAGGAAGGCCTGGCGGCTCCACGGTGGGGGGGCTTCGGAGGGTGGGGCCAGAGCCCTCCTGGACCTGCACAGCCTGCAGCCTAGAGCACAGGGCCTCCTTCTGGGGCAGCAGACGCAGAGAGGTGGTGTGGCTCCCCCACC